TGACCAAGAAGGGCAGCCCGGACCCGGTGGTCTGGCAGCAGGGGTGCCAGGAAGCATTTGACACCCTCAAAGCTGCCCTGGTCAAACAACCGATCCTGAAGGCACCGCTCCATAAACTCTTCTACGTGGCAACGGATGCCTCCGATGTAGGACTAGGAGGCCCTGTGTCCAAGCTTATAAAGGAGCGGGGGGAAGTGTGGCAGAAATGCCACCGTCTGTGTCCCTCTCCAGAAATCTGTCTCTGCCAGCGTGAGAGGCTGGTGTTGAATTCCTCAGGGAGGGGAAATCACAAAAGCCTGGTGCCTCGGGTGTGAATTCTCTGGTCACCTGGGAAGGGGGAGGGAAAAGCCCCGCTCACCGGCCCAGGTAGCCAGTGATGCTTTTTAAATTGGTTGGCTACTCGCCAGCACTGGCAGCTTCGATTGGACCGGGCTGCTGAGGTCAGAAAGGTTATTTAAAGGCCCAGTCCAGGAAGAAGGCAGCCATTAGCCATGCAGTCATCCAGGTGAATCTGAAACTGGGAGAGGAGTTTCACCAACTGTAACTGGCTCTCGCCTCATAACCGCATGCTCAAAGAGTGACCTGCCTCCAGAGGAAAACTCCAACCACCTCTGGATGATCCGTATGAGTAAGCTACTCGAGATTCGACTAGATATTTAGCTTATGGTAACTCAGATGCGAGATCAAAAGGCTACCATCAGCCATACTGGTTTGCTCTATGGGGATTCCTCTGATATTTTTATGATACTGCTCTACCTTTTACCTTGTTTTCACCCTACCCCCTGTAATCAATAAAGTTCTCCTTGTGACTGGTGTGGGAGACTTATTGAGGTGGGTCTAAATTATGCTGAGGAGGTCCCTTAGGTCTGTGGACTAAGGGAGACTTTCCTATTAAGCCCCTGACTTGGGAAAGGGCCCCAAGTGCCTGTATTGGGTCAAGTACCAAGTGGACGATGAGGCCTGTGATTTCCAAGGTGTGCAGAGCCAGAATTGAGTCCAGAGCCTTGGATGGTAGCAGTGGAAACCCCAGGCTAGCGGGTGTGCTCCAGGGAAGGGGTCGGCCGGACGTGAGGCACCCCAGGGAGGCACTCGGAGCCTGGAAGGTGGGCGGGCGCAGTGAGGTGGGCGGCTCAAATCAGGAGCGCCCCCTACTGGCCTGCCACAGTCTCCACTCTGGGTCCAGGTCTCATAGCTGAGGTCCATGTTATTTGTCACTAACTGGATGACTGCATACTATTACTATTACACATTAAGCCTACTGCATTACCCTTATTCAGCCAGTCTGTTCTCTTGTCAGAGAGGCTATTAAATTTATCTGAAGCGACTGTCCACTGATATACCCATATTGCGTTTTCCCTCATTTTCTATGTTCATAGATTCATAGATGTTAGGGTCGGAAGGGACCTCAATAGATCATCGAGTCTGAACCCCTGCATAGGCAGGAAAGAGTACTGGGTTCAGATCAGCTAGATGCTTATCTAACCTCCTCTTGAAGACCCCCAGGGTAGGGGAGAGCACCACCTCCCTTGGGAGCCCGTTCCAGACCTTGGCCACTCGAACTGTGAAGTTCTTCCTAATGTCCAGTCTAAATCTGCTCTCTGTTAGCTTATGGCCATTATTTCTTGTAACCCCCAGGGGTGCCTTGGTGAATAAAACCTCACCAATTCCCTTCTGTGCCCCCATGATGAGCTTATAGGCAGCCACAAGGTTGCCTCTCAACCTTCTCTTGCGGAGGCTGAAGAGGTCCAGGTGCCCTAGTCTCTCCTCATAGGGCTTGGCCTGCAAGCCCTTAACCATACGAGTGGCCCTTCTCTGGACCCTCTCCCAGGTTATCCACATCCCTCTTGAAGTGTGGCACCCAAAACTGCACGCAATATTCCAACTGCTTTTTATGTTCTTTTATATCTTTAACTAGTCTTCTTTTAGCATCTATTCTTCTATCTTACCTACTATTGAAGTCAAGCTAACAAACTAGTAATCACCCAGATCTAGCTTTTTCCCCTTTTAAAAAAAAAAAATAGACACTACATTTGCTATTTTCCACACAAACTATCCCCCAAATTGACAGTTTTACTGAAGATCTGTGCTAGAGAAACTGCTATTGAGTGTGCCAATTCCTTCACTATTCTAGGATGGGGATTATCCATACCCCAAGATGAGATAGCAAGCTGTCTAGGTTTTGCTTCCACCCAGATATGGTAAACTCTTTATTTATGTCCTCATTGCCATGTGGTATGCCAACGATATCCTCAGTTACCTTTTGATTTTTATTTTAGACTGAGGCAATTGTCCAGTTCTTGAATCATAACTACATCATTCTTGATCTCCTCCATCTTCAGCATGAAGTAGACACATGTCTTTCCTCCTGGTTCTCTATATAAATCAAAGCAGCTTTTGCTATTAGCTTAATATTTCTTGCAAGGTCAAGCTCAACTAGGCCTAATTCTTCACTCCTGCATTTTTACAATAGAAAGATATTCCGTCTTACTGATCAGTCCCAATTTCCATTACTTATAGATCCTCTGCTTATGCATGATAGCCTACTTGAGGTTCTTGTTCATCTATGAAGGTCTGACCCCTTACCTACAATTTTTTCCTCTCTTGGAAGGGATGCAAGCTTCTGCAAGTTGTTCTTTTGCTTTAATATAGCTCCATGCCACTTCCACATCCAAGTTTCTTAGCTCCCAAATCCAGTCCACCTCTTAACTTAGTTTCTCAAAGTTAGTCCTTGTGAAGTCCAAAACCCTTGTTATAGACCTATTATTTTGCCTCATGCAATTTAGTTTATGCTGAATCAGTTCACAATGACTTCATCCCAGATTATTTCCCACAGTTCATCTACAAGATTCTTGCTATTAGCCCAACCTATAAAGGTAATGATGCCTCTTGTTAGGACAGGTAATAGTAGGGTACATATTTCTAGATGAGTTGTCTATGAAATAGTCATTGTACCAGTGAAATTGAAGTCTCCCATAACTGCACATTTTTCACTATCACTGAAATCTCCCTAAAACAAAGAAATAAAGAACAATGAAAATAAAATAGTATAAAAACTTGTTTAAAGGAACTGAGAGGCCTTGGAAAAGTAGCTCACACTCACTAGCTGACTAACACACTGGCTATAGGAACATATTTTATTTTTGATACAACCTCAGTAACGTTGTAAGGTTCACTTTATTTGCACTACCACCATCTCCTACCGTTCTCTAGCTAGCTTAATACAGATCAAAACTGAGATATACAAACCTTAAGAACGCTGGTCCTTTAATGTAAAAGTAATAGTTCACAATGAACTGCTTTATGAGGAAGAGAAAGAAACAGTAGTAACGTAATGGTAAGCAGCACGAACATCTTCTATACCTCAGGAGTCAAAGTCCTAAATGGTAACTGAAGTGAGAAGATAGAAATGTGCCTGCAGTGTGCTTCTGGGCAAAGGAATTTGATACAACAGCAACTTAACCACAGAAGTTCAAAGCAATCTCAGTAAGTGCCCTAGCCTTGTTCTTGTTCCAAGATGCAACTGTACTTAACTCCAGTGTGACAGAAGGGATCATTACAGATTACAGGCATCAACTGGACATTCACAAAGGTCTGGATGAGGCCTATAATACCCCGTGGGTCCAATTAACAGCAAAAAATACCCATCTGACATCCTTCATGTACCAGATACAGATGCCACAACAAAAGTTGGAGACTGAAGCAGGAAGAGAACAAGGTTAAAAGCAGAAAGGCTGTAGTCTGGTCCTTTATTACAAGGGATTAAGACCATTCCTACCTTGCTCTCGTAACAAAGTCCTGAAAACATTCAGCATTCACACCCTCCTCCTCCTCTTCTTCCTGTTTCTTTTTTGATTTCTTCTGAATCATCTGATCAGTTTCCTGCAAATAAGCACATTAGTAGCCTGCCACTCTTCCTCTCTCTGCACTTTTTCCAAGTCCTAGAACAGTTCTAGCACTGCCCAGAGAAAGGATTACAAAGCAGCTTTATAGGAGTATCAAACCTGGGGCCTGCGGGGAAGATCTGGCCCATGAAGCTGTGTCATATGGGCCAAAAGACTAGGAATTCGGAGGTGGGGCAAGTAGGGGTAGGCCTGGCTTCCTAAATCCAAGGCACACTAAATCAGTGGGGGTGGGGGGAACTTAACCCTTCCACTACCACTCACCCACATAAGCCTGGGGGGCAGGGTGAGTTTAAAGCTGCTGATCTAGAATAAAAAAAGAGGTGCCCAATTCAATGGGATCAAACTAGTAGTGCATTTCACTATGTCAGTGATTCTCAATGAGGGTGCTGTAACACCCTGGGGTATCTTGAAATCCTTTCAAGGGTGCCAATGTGCCATGCAATGTTAACACTGTTAGATATGCAAACATGATTCACAAGATGAACCCAGAGACTGAAATTGGAATCCAGTGTTAAAACATTCTGACCTGTAATGGTCTTCCTGAGTTCTTTGCAACAGAAGAACCACTCTCTTATCTTTCTATAGTTAAAAATGGAGTGAAAACTAAGAGGTGACATTTTAAGGGATGTCTCAAGTCTAGTGAGGGATGCCTCAAGTTTATTTTGGGGCGCTTTCAGTCTAAAAGGTTGAGAACCACTGCACTATGTGCATGTGGTTCTGATGAACTGCAGAACCTGTAACTGCAGGGAGCTCCAGAAAGAGACTACTGTACATGTGCTAAGGTCCATGGTCCTCTATTTTACTTACCCTGTTAGAAGCAACATACCAAGTAGCACTCTAGTCTTGATAAATGTGTTTCATTGGTATGAACACCCCCTCTGTGAGAGACTATGAAAAGGTGGACATACCCTTTACAGTCTCAGAGACCCTTTTCTACTTTGCTGTTCCTGTCCCTAGTGGAGGTCTCCTCTTAACAGTTTTTGGCCCAGCTATTTGTTCCAACAGAAGTGTATTTAGCGCAAGGGCAACCATAACATGGTATTGGAGGGGATCAGTCAGATAAGTCTACAGGCAGCCTTCTAACCTCACTCTGAGAACTTCCATCCAGACTTGCCTCCTGACTTGCACTGCACTACTGAAGCCTTGTCTACCTGTGGAAGTTATACTGCATTAGTTATACTCATTTAGTTAAACCAGTATAACCCTGCACCATGTATCTGGTTACATCTCTATAAAAATGCTCATAATGCACTTCATTCCTACATGAAAAGAGGAATACATACCTTTATACCAGTATAACTTTGGTAACACTGGGACTATACTGATATAATACTTAAATTAAAAAAAAAAAAAATCACATCCCTGAATAAAATAATGATTCCAGTACTGCTTAGACTAGGCCTAGGTTCCACTTAGCTGGTGAATGTGGGAGTAACAGTGGGCACCAAGTCAAAAGTACTGTATACATTTTGTTAAAGATAATTCAAGAATAGCAACTCTCAAAAGGAGAGGACAGGGGAGGGGAAAAAAACCACCCTCCAGAAATAGGACATGTTTCCGATCTTCATCACCTCAGTGGGAAGTCTCACTCGCATGCAATTTGCTTTACTCAGTTTGCTCAAGGCAGGAGCTTTCTTCTACAGTGCAGTAGTAAGAACATAACAGTAGCAAGGATCTCCCGCCATAGCTGCAGTCACCAGAGTTAGTGAAAGAGAACTATATACTGGGTTCAAACGTGAAAAAACCTGTAGCCAGGGAGTCTCTCAACAGCTTAAAAAGCTTATGGTCTCAAACCCAAGTGATTTGATCTCTCTACCTCCAAAGAAGAAAATGTGTTTCTGAACTGATTTATTACCAGTTATACAGCTTTATTTTGTGAATTCACTTAAAGGTGAGCAGAAAATCCTGGGGTTTGAATAGAATCTGAGTGGAAATTATATACAAAGCAGCTGTGTTTTTCACTTGCCACGAAGCTGCCCGGGTGTTTTGTGGTTACTCCTAACAGTAATTCAGAGAGCAGTAGGCACACATGGCACTCCCAGGAATGGATCTGGATCACATTCAACTTTGCTGGCAAACTTTTCTGCTCCAACAAACCAAGTTACCAGATATTAGCTTAAAATGGATGTCCTTAGTCAATGGGAACTAGGAGGGCTACAAAAACAGTGTAAGTAGCAGACAGTGGAGATTCTATCAGAGAAATGGGCTGAGGGGGATCCCAAAAAGAGGAAGTAAACTTTTATTCCAAAATATGTATCAGCAAAAAACATAGCACTGAGAATGGCAATTGCTGTAGCTGCAGAAGTGAAAAGTATCAATTTAATGCAAGACTTAACTCATTCTTGCCAGAGACCATGAAGAAATCCAGTCCAGTTCATGGTTTATAGCTTTTTAATATAGTAAACTAAGGGCAAATATGCATGTTGCACATTATTTGTTACATGGCTGAACTATGCAGGAGCATGACAAACTGCGAGAAAGAACAGAAGAGCTACAAGAGACTAGAGGCTGAGGCCCCTACAAACATCAATTAAACATCTTTTTATCAACATCTACAGAAGTTTATTTAATATATAACCATCTATATTGTTTTCATTTTATCACAGTGTTTTTAACCTCATTTCGTAGGCCAGCATTTTGAGAAACCAGATGCGTCTCTGAACACCTAACTGACATGCTGCATATGCACCTGCAAGCACAGTGCTGTCTAGCTAATAATTGGATACTGCCAATATCCATGGCTGAACAGGCAACCACAAACAGAACTAAGAATTTTCACACTAGATTAGACCAACAGGCTGCTTATATTGTAATCCTGTCTAGGATATGGCTAATATCAAATACTTCAGAGGAAGGAGCCTGAAACTCAGTCAAGAACAATACTGGAGTTACCTACTTCACAGTAACTGCACACAAGTTATGTATAAAAGCCAAATGTCAGCATAAGCATTTTGAACAGTTTACATGTTTCAGAAATCCAAAAATAATTGGATAGGTAACTGCCAGTATCTGGGAGGCCCATATGGAATGCATTGGCCTGTAATATTCAATGGTTACCAAATCCAGGGAGGCTGCTACTACTGGGGCATGGTGAAGTTGGTCAGTACTGCACTGTGGGGTTAGGCATTCCATCCTGCACTCAGAATACTGAAAAGAACCAGCACTAGCAGCAGTAGTAACAAAACTTTGTTACTGATCTGGTCCAAACACCTTAGTCTTCTGCTGAACGGGCTCCTCTACCAAAGACCGAAGAACACAAATAAAAACCACTCACCTTGTTATAACAGATAATGAACTCCCCCAGCTGGTGAGCCAGAATGCGCCTACGGTCATTCAGTGCCAGATGCCGACTGGGGAGTAGCATCCTCATGGACTGCTGAAGATTGCTGGCTGCTCGCTTCAAAAAGCGTACCACCAGCTCCTGTAACCAAGGGAGAGAGTCAATAGAGAAATCTAGGTGAGCAAGGGTACAAGATGTAGGACAGAGGGTTGCTAGACCAGCCCATTATTAGTAGAGATAGCTATATTATTCTGCAGATGCAAGTGACAAGTGACAGGTAAGAGTACATCTCAGAAAAGAAAGAGAGTGCTTTTTCACCTAACTCCACAAATATCCAAAGCTAAAAGGGAGAAGGATTGTGTTTCACTCCCTGCAGCAGGACAGGAAGGGAAATATTTTGGAAATAGTTGTCTGAGGTGAAACTGGCAGAGGAAGGGATGCAGAAAAATCATTTAACATTAATAATGGAAGGTACCTATTGAGAAAAACATTTTACATGGAGCACTGTCAAAATAATCATGAAGGAGAAGTCTAATGATGAAATGCCTCAACATACACACCTGACTGCCTCAATTGGGAGGAGGACCTTGGGGTTCATTCATTACCGTGGTGGGAGACCCCATTCCACTAATGGTGAGACACATCATCACATTCCCTGTACCGTCTCTGGCCAGATACTCCTATCTCTGACACATCCCCTCACCATATTTAATTTGTGGGGAAGGCAAATGGCAAGCCAGGCCTCAAGGGAAACACCTCCCAAGGGTGATCTGAAATCTCTCTCTCATCTCCAGATCTGCTTTCAGTTAAGTGCCCCTGCTAGTGCATAAATGAGCTGCCTCACAGCCAAAGAATTGGATTACATAGCTCGACTCTCACTTCCATAACACTAGGCTGGTTTGATCTGTTATTTTAAACATTATTTTTTTCACAGGACAGCAGACAACATTACTCTCAAAAAGCCTGTTTCAATTTTCCACTTGGAAAGAGCAGGGGTAACATTTTCCATTGAGCCAATTGATTATTCCCGACACACAGTTTTATCTCTGAGCTACACTGGCTGTTTCCCCACAGTTTGGTATAAAGGAGAATCCATTTGGACTTGCAGAACACCAAGTATCCTGCATCTTTCTGGAGTGTCGTAGGGAGGGAAAGTAGCAGACTGAGCTCCTTAAAATGTAGGAAGGGAAGAAGGGAAGATTTCATTTTACAGCCTGAGGAAGTTAAGATGTATTCCCCTTAAACAGTTGCATTAGAGAAACACCCTCTCTCAGGGATTCTGGTCTGTTTTTTTCTCTCTGTTTAGAGAAATGGGAAGATGCCATGAGGTCCAGTTACTTGCAAAAGGTGGGTGGAAGAGGGCTAAGTCAGGTGCCTATGAAATTTGAGTGGATAAATATTCTGTTTCTATGGGAAGATGCTTGGCCCTTTGTGATTCAACAAGAGAATCTAGGCATTGGCAGAACACCTCAGAAAATCCTGCCAGTTGATAGCAGCTCAAACACAGGTACGTCCATGATTGAGATATGTAGGGAGGAGGCAGCAGAGGCAGGGTATGAACTGCATGGAAAGTCAACCATACCCAATTCACTGAGAGCTGTCTGTGCTAGATCTCACTCAGAAAGATCATCAGTCAACTCTTTTAGCAGCTTCATATACTAAGAACCCAGCACCAGCTGGGTGGAGCTGGGTGGAGGAGACATGTGTAACCTCAAAAACCAGGAGGTTTTTTTTCCTTGCTCTTCCCAAGGTTAGGGACCAGCCTCAGGACCCCCAGAGCAGTTTTCCAGCTAGACTTCTGTGGCCCAAAGTAAAACTCCTTACCATTTGCTCATCCTCCTTGGCAGCCCAGGCAGCACTCTGGATACGGTCCCCAGATTCTTTCATCAGGCGCAACTGAACACGCTGCAGGTAGGCAGAGAAAGCCCTGCGAGCCTGCACCTTGCTGTGGAAGCCAAGAGGCACAAACAGCAGTCAGCTAAACAGCACTAGAGAGTAAACTGACAACACCTAGTCCTACTCCCTAAGAGCCTGACAATGCCCTGAAACATGGAAGATATAAAATTTTGCCATTTGCAATGCCAATACCCCTGACAATTGCCAATGCACTCCATGTGTGGCTAAGGAGAAAAGTGGTAAAGGGAAGGACTATTTCTTTACCCCTCAGTTCTTCTCAACAGACTTTCATTCCACCAGGATAGGGCAGGGGTTCCAGAAGACACTACAGCAGGAGTGGCCAAAATATGGTTCACAGGCCACATTCAACCCACACCGGTGGCTACCCAACTATTGATTGCATCTGGCCTACTACTGCCCCCATGGTACTCAGCCCTGCCTGCTCCTGCCCAGGGCAGCCCGCACTGGCTCTGGCCCCAGCCAGCGCGCACAGCCTCCCAAGTAGGACTATTCCCATTGTGGCTGCAGCTACTTGGGTACTGCTTGGGTACACATCCAGCAGCTCCTGCTCCTCCTACCCTTGCTGCACTGCTTCAGGCAGCAGGTAACGCAGGGAAGGGCAGCAGCTGTGGGGATGCATACCAAGCACCACATGCCCAGCCAAGTAGGGGGAAGTTGCAGCCAGGCAGCACCTGCCCCAGTGTAAGGGGCTGCAGCTTGCATCTCCCTTCCATCCACTCCACCAGTCTGGTGCAATGAGCAGCCACGAGCTGGAGGCAGGAGCCGCGCAGCTGCAGCATCCCTCGCACCTGGCTGGGCGTGTGGTGCCTGGCACAGATCCCCATGGCCACCACCCTTTCCTGTGCTACCTGCTGCCTGGAGTGGCACAGCTGGGACAGGAGGAGGAGGAGGTGGAGCTGCTGCTAGAGGCAGGGAGTAGCAAGCAGTACCCAAGTAGCTACACATGCACCAGGAGGGGCCAGGACAGTGGACAGAACACCAGTCTGGATGGGGGTGGGAGATGGACCGCACCTGCACTGTACCACCTGGGCAAGCTCTGTTGCACATGCACCCTTCCCCCCACCAACCCCCAGCCAGCTCCTGGGACCTAGTATGCAGGTAGTACCCCTCCCCCCACAAACACAATACACAAGAGTGAGACTGTTTTGAGTTACTATGCAATCACCTCTATACACACCCCTCACACACAAATCAGGACAAAAATTATTTTTTGAAATAAAATTAAAATATGCTACAGTAGATGTGTGATTTTTAGTATACAATTTTTTCTCTATAATTTGTTAAAATTATATCTTCTGAAAGTTTGTGTGCATGTGACCCTCGACTGCTCCCCAAAACTGGTTAAGTGGCCCACCAGTCAAAATAATTGCCCACCCCTGCACTAGAAGGATCACCATATGTTCTCTGAGCAAGGACAACCTCTGGGAACAGGATGTTCTCCTTCCCTTTTCCACAACCTGAGCAGCTGCACACTCAGGTGATCAACCATATGCCAGTAAGTACCAACTGAACCAAAATAATCCTGGCCCACTCTTTGGCTCCCTTTGCCTGTCTTTTCAGAAGCATTATGCACACCAGACCATATACTAAACTGAACGACTCTAGCTGTAAAGGAAGCTATGCAAATCCCACAAGATGGAAGAGAGGATCCCGGGTGTCTCATAGGAAACCTCTGAGAAATAAAAGGAACTACATTTCCAAAAGTGAGCTCTTCCTCAGCTGGCCCAGGGTTACAGCTCAGGCTCCACTAAGCAAGGCACTGTTCAAGGGGAGAAGGAAGAACTTTCAACAAACCATGCCATGCAGGTGTATGAATATATAGAGAAGCAGTGGCTGAGTCAAGGAGATCAGACTGGCACAGGATTTAGGAGGAATATGCTGTTTCATTCCCACCCCTGTACAATGGCAAGTGTGTTAATGAATGCACATGTTGGAGGACAGACAACTGTCTGAGGCTATATTCATTGCACACATTTTTAGCCCAGATTTCATCCATTCTCCAACCTCACGTTGGTTCTTTCCTGAGTGTCATCCTCTCCCCAGATATCCCTACTTACCATTCATGCTACACTTCATACCTCTTGTCCCCACACACAGAATAAGCTGTCCCCAAATGAACCAGGCACAGTCCTTCCCCTCCTTTTCTTAGGAACACAAGACTGGAAAGGACCTCCCACATTACTGAGTCCAGTCCCTTGCTCTTGCAGGAAACCATATCATATAAATAGTTCCATCAAGCCAATCAAGCTCCATCTTGAAACAAGTTAGTTCCTCTACCCTCACCCTACTCCCATTGGAAGGCTGCTCCAGAACATTGTTGCTTTAACAGTTAGGAACCTTCTTTAGATTCCCAAGGTAAATTTATTTGTGGCTAATTTATACTCATTTGTTAAATTGCCAATATTTTCCAACAGCTTAAAGAACTCATTCCCTGGTGTTTAGCCCTCCTGATGTATATGTAGAAAGCAATCATATCTCCTTTCAGCCTTCATTTTACTAGGTTAAACAACACACTCTTAATAATAGTCTCCCAGCTCCCATAAAGATCCTTCTCCATCTGAGTTAATCTTTCTTGACTAGGGTGGACCAGAATTATACAGAGCATCCCAGATGAAGATTTAACAGAGCCTTATCCATTAATATTCCCCTATCTCTACTGGCAATACCTCTCTTGATACATTCTATAATTGCATTTGCTGTTTTCACAGCTGCACACACCCTGGTGGTCCACAGTCATCCTCAATTGGCTAGTACATCCAAGTCTTTCTCCTTCTGTTATTTCCATCTGATGAGGTCAATCCCAGCTTATCATAGAAATTAGTCCTTAAATGTACAATTTTGGATTCCATACAGTTTAATTTCATTTTATTTCTTTTGCTCCACTTCTCAAGGTCATCCAATTCTTTCTCTGATTGTCCTTGGTACTGACGTTGCCTCCCAACTGTGTATCACCAAAAATTCAATTACAAACCTACATTTTGTGCCAAGACCATTCATAAAAATATTAAAGATCAGTCCCAAAACTGACTCTTTAGTATCTAAACCATTTTTCCCATCACCTGATCTCTGGCTCTTTCTAGGTACTTACATGGCTATCAGAACTGCAGTAGCTCACTAACTACCTGCTCCCAACAAGTCCTTTTTCAAGTTCCTGGACTCAGGAGCTTGGTCCCCCTTACTGTATGTGCTGGAAAAGTGCTATGGAAATCACACGAAATAGTGGGGCTAACACAAACCATTGTATCAGTCTAAATCTGATACAAGATGGCCATTGAAATAAAAACGAATACACTGTCCAGATTTATGCCTTTGCTTAAATCATTAGTTTTCCTCATTTCTGAAGGCCTCAGGCAGAGCCAAGGAGAATCTATACAGATAAAAGCTAACGGTGGGCTCTGACTGACACTCCCTCTCTTGGGTTTATCTTACAGGTTCTGGTAAAAGTCTCTGGCTACCTTCTTACCCTGCAGTGAACTCAGAATACAGAACGACCCTTGTGGTTCTTCAGAGCTCTCTGTTCTAGTTTCCAGTCAACAGTTCCATCTTTTCTCTTACGTAGGGCTAACCCAATTAGAAGGACACTTTGCTGCCATCACAGACAGACAATGAAAGCAGATCCTTCAGAGTGGATCATGGGAACAAAACATTTAATTGACTCTTGCCAGCTGTACACTGAGTTTGGGGCCCAAAAGGAGAAAGGATTCAGTACAGGTTCAAAAGTGGGGGCAAACAGATTCTTTTACTGTTGATGGCACATTGAGGGGACTCCAATAACTGTCACCCCTCTCAACAAATACTGCTGATGAAATTTAGGGGTGAGAAGAGAAACTGTTTAGCCAGGCCTAAGGCAGGTCTGGTTTCTTTCAGATGAATTTTTCATGACTGCAGCTCTTCAGCCTCCTGACCTGGCAACCAAACTTTCATCAGTGACAGATCAGACAGGGCTGAGCCCAGCACAATCTTTACACATAAGATCACTGCACAGCTTATGTTCTCTGTGGAGTTCCTTGACTGCTGGGGAAGCTGCAGGGGAATCCCAACAGGTCTGGGTGCCGAGTAGTACTCTGCCAGGAGCCCCAAACAGAAGCCTACATTTTTAGCAAGATCTGGTCCTATGTGCAAGTGTGGGAGATCAATATCAGGATGTCTACTTTGGAAACCTGTTTCCAAATCTTCTCCATATGGACATCACAGCAGCTCTCACCTCAGCCAGACCAAGATAAGAGAGCAATACAAACTCCTCTTGAAGCTTCCTCATGGCCTCCCAACCTCAACTAAGCTAGGGAAAAAACAGGTCACACAGGGGCCACCAGAGTCTTGTATCTTCTATAAACTTGAATGGTTTTACGTTAGGCTTGATAAACTATGGAAGCGCCTTCTATCCAGATGATGTACGAACACCTATATCTGTGTACTACTTCCCAATGCTCCATCTACCAGAGGGATACATATACCATCTGCCTTTCTTTTATAATCTGCCTCTTTAACAAGCTAGTATTCTCTCTCCCCAAAGAGAATGATTATCTTCCTATCTAGTAGGCTCTAGATTGGAGGGTTCCTCAACTATGTCCTCCCACTCCACACTTTTGTACATAATCATGCTTCACCCCATCCCTCCCAACAGTGGGCAATCAGACTTTCCAACCTCCCATAACCCTCAAATCCCTTATGTTTGCTCTAAGGCCATGGTAATCCACATTTCAGTAGCTATTAGTAGGGTTACCAAAAAAAAAAAAAAAAAAAAAAAAAAAATTCCTGCTCAGGAACAGAAACACAAGAAGTAAGCTCATTTATGACAGTGAGGTGGGCAACACTGGGGTGTTCCAGTTTCAGCCTTTTTGGCTAGCTTAGTGCCATATTCGATTTGGATTCGGCTCGAATCAGGGACAGTGATTCAATTTGTTGATTCGGATCACTGTCCTGATTTGATCTGGCCAAATCCGAACCTGAAGATTCAATGCCGATTCAGGGAATCAGTGATTCGGCCACAGGCACAGCTTTAAATGTTTTTTCTACTTAACTCAAGGTACCAGGTGCAGCTTGTGAATGCTGAGCTGATGTGGCAGATGGAGCATCCCACAGAAGTGCAGGGGTGCCCTCCCGCATGCTCAGTGGCGAACCTGGACGTGGGCCGGAAGTACTTCCAGTCCGCTTCTGGGTCTGCCGCTGAGTGTGCGGGGGACCCCACCCTGCGCCCCCCTGGCTCGGTGATCAGCTGCAGGGGGATTCCAGGCGCCCCCCAGACCCAGGAGACACCAGTCACCGAGCCAGGAAGTGCTTCTGGTCCACTTCTGGGTCTGCTGCTGAGCGTGCTGGGGACCCCCTGCGCTCCCATGGGATGTTCCATCCGCTCCAGCATCGCACCATTCACAAGCTACCTGGTACCTTGAGGTACGTAGAAAAAACATTTCAAGCTGTGTCTATGTCCAAATCATCGAATCTTTCTGAATCTCTGGATCAATTTAGAGGGTTCCAATTTGATTCAGAGAGATTAAAGGGTCTCCTGATTCGATTCAGATTCGGCTGCCAAATCGGGCCGAATCTCTGCCAAATCAAATCAGCGACTGATTATAGTGCAACATGAGGCAAATTAAAAAGCAGGGAGATAAAATTCAATAGGAGGCACCTTACATTCAATTGAAGGAATTAAAGAAGCCACTAGTGGCCAAAGTGATGCTAACAGCTACCTGCTTTGATAGAAGTATAACCCACAAAGATAACAGCTCTTAGTACCCAATGCTTTCCACTGGTCCAAGGAAATATCCAAGTAGCAATCCAAAGGGTCAGGCATTCTAGGACTAGTAACATGAGGGTCCCTACAACTGACTCCATTTTATGCCAACACAGCCTGCAGTTGGGTACATCTGTTGTAGGCTCTCCCACCTCCCCCCTGCACATGTACATAATGGGTAACTCTGACTGCAGCCCCCAAGTAGTCCCTACACTAGCTGATAAAGTGTTTTAGGATAAACCCACCTAAAGACTCTTACCTTAAATTGCCATTCTCCTGCAGAATCTTTAGCAAGTTAAATCGAGGTTCTGGCTCTACTTTTTGGAGAAGCATTTCTCCTTCGCACCCTCCAACTTCCTGTCCAGGCTCCTTTGGCAATTTTTCTCGGCAAGCAGCTTCCATCAACTCAGATAACTTTGGCTTGGAATTTATCTGCATGTCCATACGAGAGCCAGCAGCTTCATTCTGAGTTACCTCTAGTTCTTCAACTTCATCTGCCTCTTCCTCCTCTTCACTTTCTGTATCAGACTTAGGCAGCAGCTTTGTCAGTTTGGAAGTCCCTAAAGTGGGGAAGAAACCACCTGAGTTGATGAAAAAGGTGTTGGGAGGTAGGAGGAAAGTATTTTCTGTAATATACGACCCTTTTGATTACTTCCAAAGATTTTGCTCCCGGAAGTTGAAGAGCACCATGTAGGACATACAGTCCTTGGGCTTCCCTCTTCACCAGATCATCCATTTGAGGATCAAAACAACAACTTATAAACCCTCCCTTTCAGCACCAAGAGGTAAGCAAAGGCTAGTATCCTTACTTATAATGGAAGAAGCAAACAGAGAATGAAATTTGAGACTGAATCTTTAGAGGATGTTGATCATCATAACAGCCACAGTACTTGAAGTTGTAATACAAAGGGGATGTAGTGGCAGGCATATGAATGGTAAGGCAGTTCAGAATTTGGATGGAATAAAAACCATTAACTTTGATTACAGAGTCTCTCCCCCTTATAAGCAGGAACCCCAGGGCCAAAAGCATCTACATACCTGCATTAGAGCTCTTGCAGCTTGCCCATCTGGGAATGCAACACCACAGGTTCTTTGCTAGCTTGTCTTTAACTACCTGCACACTAGGCCTGTGCGAAGCAGCTAGTATTTGCTTCCGATTCGGCTGATTCTGGGGACAGTGATTCGATCCGGAGATTCAAATCACTGTCCCGAATCGATTCAGCCAAATCTGATTAGGAGATTCAACTCCTGCCAAATCTCTGAATCTCCAAATCTCACAGGCCCATCCCCCGCCCACTCTCCCAGCCCAGCTCCCAGGACTTTGAAAAAAAAGCCCCGACTCAGCGGGTACTGCCCCTCACTGTGTGGGGGGCTCTGCACGAGCCCCCGCCACCCTCCCAGAACCCCCCATGGCTGCCCCACCCACCCTCTCTCTGGCCCTATAAGTAAAAAACCAAAAAGCCCTGGACTCACCA